AAGATCTTTTCCCATTCTGTTGGCTGTCTTTTTGTCTTATTGACTGTGTCTTTTGCCCTGCAAAAAGAATTAACTCTTAAATGTTAACATGTCAGCTAGAGTGAGCTGAAATAAGAACCTTCCCTAATAGTTTTTTTTTCTTTCAGAGGCAGCAGAAGAAAGAGCTATGGAGTGGGGACTATCAGCCAGAGACACAGTCTCTGCACTGTGTTTCCAACTTCAGCTTAAGGGCTGGTAAGATGGCTAAGCAGGTAAAGGCTCCTGCCCCAAAGACTGATAATCGGAGTTCAGTTCCTGGACTAACTCCACATGTTGTCCTCTGACCTCTGCACACACCTGCTGAGGTTCACAGGCAGGCACACACAAGTGCACATAGAAAGTAAGGAAGTGCATAATATAATGATAATGTTCACATGGGTATATATGGACGTTTGCAAAAGTGTTTTTAGATTAGAAACAAGAACAGCAACTTACACAGTGCATAAGGAAAACCTAAATTGAATTAAAAATGGAGCCATAGCAGGGATACAAGTCATTTACTTTTCAGAATTCCAGGGGTAGACGAAGTTTTGATAAATGTCTTGTTTTAGTTTATTGGATTAGAAGATTGTTTCAGTGGCTGAAGCAAGAGTTAATGCTGGGGTAGTGTTGTGGGTCACTGAGGTGTGATGCTTAGTGAAGGTTCCTTCCCAGAGTGTCACTGAGGGCCAGGCATCTTCTTTTCCATGTTTCAGAAGGGCCTAAATTTAAAGTGGATGTTGCATAGCTCAAGATATGAGGTGACCAAGCCCTTATGTCCATCTCCCAGAGAAGCTGTTGGAGTTCCTTCCACTCCAGAAATGGGATATGTTCTTCTGCTATGGTTCTCTGTGAGGCAGATGTATTTCTTGGGGTCAGATGCCTGACACTTCTGATAGGGCCTTATCCCTCATTAGCAGAGTGGGCTGGAGGGCACATTTTTCTCCTCTCTAACAGAACTCATGTAGCTACAGTGTTTTTCCTTCATCAGGTCAGTTTTCACAGATTCAGACAAGAAGGAACAGGACAAGAGCATTCATATAGACTTAGATTGCCCAAGTAGGCTCAGAACAGACATGCTGTTTAAAAAGTGAGTGCAGGCTGTTACTTCGCAGAGGCTCTAGGGGCAGAGCAGAGCAGTTGTTGTTGTGGTGGTGGTGTTTTTTTGTTTTTTTAACTCTTATCTGTTTTGAGGAGCCCACCACCCAGGTCCCACATAAATTCTAAAAGAGGATTTTTTTTTCTTTCTTTTTTATAAATACCTAGTCTTAGCTTGGCTTGTTTCCAGCCAGCTTTTCTTAACTTCAAATATTCCATCTATCTTTTTCTTCTGTGCTTTTACCTTTCTGTATTTCTGTGTACCTTTCATGACTTTTTACTCCATGGCTTATTGTGAAGCTGGGTGGCTGGCCTGTGAATGCACTACTCCTTCTTTTCTCATTCCTTCTATCTTCTTCCAGATTTCTTCTTCTCTTTATTTTCTCTGCCTGCCCAGCCTATCCTTTCTCTTGCATGGCTATTGGCTGTTCAGCTCTTTATTAGACAAACCAGGTGTTTTAGACAGGCAAAGTAACAAAGTTTCATGGAGTTAAACAAACACAACATAAAAGATTGCAACACATCTTTCCATCATTAAATCAAATGTTCCACAGCATAAACAAATATAACACATCTTAAAATAATATTCCACAACATAGCAGGCTTTGACTAAAGCTCACACTTGAACACCCACAAAGCCCCTGATTCTGTTTGTCATATCCTTTCTCGGGAAATTACTAACAGATTTGTGGAACACAAACTTCAGAATCCTAACTCAGATTCCTTGAACATCCAAGGGAGAGAGTGCCAGTGCTGTGTTCAGCCCCAGGTGTGGAATCCTAAACACACAGTAGGATAGAGCTTCTGCATGGAGTCTGGAGTCTGGTGCCAGTGCAGCTTTAGGTGTGGGGAGAAGAGACTCCCACGTGACAGCAATCCTAAAAGCATATTATTCTTACCCAACACTCTTTACAAAATGGTTTTAAATACACAGGGGCCACTTTCCTTTTCAAGGGGTTCTTAGAAGCAAGCACTCTTCATAATGTAAAAACTGGAAAAGGAAAGTGAGAAGAATGAAGCATTCCTAACAACAGTTCACCAAGAACTTTACAATCACACACCCATTAGCACAGCTTCCTTACAAACAAGGTCAGGCTGGAACCCATTGCCCATTCTCTTGACCAATATCCTTCATAGGCAGTTGGTACTATAATATTTGAAAGAGGGAAATCTCCTCCCCACCCCAGTAACCTGCTGGGAATCCGAATATATCAACCCAAATCCTCTCTCTACTGGTAGGCTTGTAAAAAAAAAAATGGTCCCTGGAGTCTGGTATCTGAGGTCCATATTTCTGTGCTTTAGAAAGAGAAAACTGGCCTGCATGGCATTATGGAAAAGCATGGAGTGTGCAGGAACTTCAAGTTTCAGACATTCGTGAATCATTGAATTGAGTGATATAGGGATCAGATAAGGATGTAATGGATGACTATCCAGGCAGTAAGACCTGAATGGAGGAGGAAGAGGCAAGGAATGCAGATAACTGCTGCAAAGCTAGGCTGCCAGAGAGAAGAGAAAGCATGCAGGGTTTGGAATTCCAGTAGAAGGGATTGAATTTTTGGATTCTGGCTTCACTTCTGTTGCTGTGACAAATTTCCTGGCCAGAAGCTGAATAAGGGGGAAAGAGTTTGGTGTACTGTCACAGGTTAGGGTCTGTCATTCAGGGGAAGTCAAGGCAGGGACTTATCACATCACATACACATTCAAGAGCAAAAAGGTGCAAATGCATCCATGCTGCCTGCTTGCAGCTAACAACCATGCATGCAGGCCAACCTAGTCTACATAATTCCTTGTAAAGACTGCCTTCCTAGGTGATTCTATGTCCTGTCAAGATGATGATTAAAACTAATCAGCAGAGGGCACTGTGTGCATCAGATTGTATCTGGGGCAAATGTGCGCATGAGTTTGCAGTGAGGACAATTAATCCTCCCTGGTTTTCTTCCCAAGTTTTCCTCACTAGACCTGAATTCCATTTGCTGCAGTCACATGCATCAGGCCTCCACTTTGCTGCAGTCACATGCATCAGGCCTCCACTTTGTTACAATCGCATGCATCAGGCCTCCACTTTGCTGCTAGACTCTTGGAATGTCTCATCATCTTTTCTCATCCATCTGCCCCAGGATGCTTTCCAGGAAGTTGAAGTTAAATACTTACTGCTTTCCATAGCGTATTGAGTGGGGCCGGGGCCTGTCCCCTGACTGCCATTATTCATTGCTAAAGCAGACAGTCTGTGCTTCCCTCATCCAGCAGGAATACTGCCTCACTTAGCACCTGACTTTCTCAGGACACTGTGCACCTTCTACCTAGAGCCCCTACCAAATGTCACATGTTTCTCTCTCTACTAGACTGTAAGTCTGGATCAGGGATGGAAAACAGGGATCAGGGCCTGGGTTCACCATCAAATACATTTTCTTAGATTTCATAATTCTTTTACTACAGATTGCATCTCTTTAAAATTAAAGCTCATATCAAACATTCTGAGGTTCAGATTTCGATGAAGTGTGTACATAGGACTCACACCAAGAGGAAACAGTTGAATCACTGTAGCCTCCCACCATCAGGTTTAGAAACGGGATCCACACCCACCTGAGGAGCGGGGGCCACTCCCCTCTTCCTTGAGCTGTGTGGTGTCACTCTGCTGCCCAAAGCTCACACTCCAGTATTTGGAGATCAAGGAACAAGCATTGTCTCTGGATATTCTCCTGCAGGTGGCCTCTTAAACAGACCATCTACTGAACACTTTGCTGGGTCCCCAGAGGCCACCCTTGCCTCGTGTCCATCTCTGTCTGGCACCCAGGACACCCACTGTCTCTCAGCAAACCCTGCTAAGTGGTGTCCAGCCTCCTTACTCACTGGCCCTCCTCCTCCTCCTCCACCTGCACACTCCTCCTTTGCACCATCTCTTGGGCTGTCCTCCCTGCATAGACCCACCTGACTCTCCTTTAGAGCCCAGCCATGTTTCTGAAGCTTTCCCGGACACCTTCTGTTCAACTCCATTCCCTTCCATCATTTGTACATCACACTTAAACCTGTGGGTGAGCACATCTCTGAGCTTCCCTTATTCATTGGCCACAGACTGCAGAATCCAGTGGAAAAGAGGAGGAGGTTCACAGGCTGGGGCAGCTGCCAATCTTCCTGTGCCTTTACTGCCTCCTTGTGGTGGATTGCATGTAGTACATGACTCCGGTGTGTAGGAGCTGTAACTGCCACCAGCAATTCTGTACCCAGACTGTGTAGGTAAGAGGGTGGGGTCTTTGTTATCCAAAGGATTCTAAGGCCTTATGCTTGGCAGGCTAGATGCACAAACCAGGTCACTCTCCTTTATTTCCGCTCACCCTTATTAGACCTTGGGAGACTGCTTTCCCCTGAGAAAATGGACCAGTGAATTCAATGAGGGATTTAAGTTGGCTGAAATCAAGACTGAAGATTGTTTCTCCTACCCCACCATATCCTTTCCTTCTGAGCTAATGGAACAGGCTTGTGGAAAGCGTCCAGTTTACCCTGGGCTCATGGACACTCACTCTGTGTAAGATGATGGGGTGTACGAGCTCCAGTCCTCAGCTGCCCACAACCTGGGAGCCAGGTGAGAGCTCTTATTTGTGTCCTTGTGGGTGGTGCCTGAGCATCTCCCCTCCCTCTTATAGAGTGAATGGTGAAGCTACATCCTCAGTGAGTGTTCTCTCAAAGAACTGATGAGTGAGGAGTCAAAACAGAAACATGTAGCCAATTGTGTGTAGAAATCGTCCTTGGAATTTACTTTAACTCCCAGAAACAGGTGGCTCTTCCTTTTAAACCATAGAACACTGTCCAGTGAGCCAAACTGAGGCTCTCTCAGCCTGGCAGGGCAAAGGAAGCAGAACTGGCTGACAAAGGCAGAGCATCCACTTCCAGATGACCCCTTGCTAATGTGAAACCAAGTGGGGCTTCCTGAGCTATAAATGGCCTGCTTGAAAATGGAGCTTGTTTCTCTCTCCTGATACTGTAGTAACCAGAAAACACTCTTAGGTTTGGTTTGCTGTATAGAACTTCAGGATGTATTGGTGAAATTATTAAGGCCACTCCATGTAGTTAAAAGGAGATTTATTTAATGGCGTAACTTACAAATGAAGGGATAGGTAGGTTGAGTGTTCTGGCAAGGGTGCAGCGTAGTCCAGCGCTGTTCACTGGAGAGCTCTGTCGGTCCACCTCTAGCATCCGGGTTCCCAGCAGCAAGAGAGCACAGCATGTCCCTATCTCAGGTCTTCAGGGCCCTCCCTTAGTCCAGCCTTGTAGGTGTGACAGTTACTGAAGCCTCAATGGGGGTTGAAACTTCCAGACCAAAGCTGGAATGGCTACCCACTACAAGGATGGTTTTGTCTCCTGATTCTAGTTCAGTAGTTCAGTCCCAATCATTGTCATCCTATGAACATTAATCAATGTGGGGTGAGAAAGAAGTATTGATGCTGGATGAGACTTTCATGTTGTCTGTGATACCAAAAGGCAGGTGAGTTAGTGCCCAGTTGTGACAGGAGACAGTTTTCTTTCCTCTATACTGTGTCCCCACAGCTCCCTCAGGTTTATGATGTCTGGTTGAGCACACAGGGCTGTAGCTGAAGTTTTGCTGAAGTTTTCCTGTTTTCTGGCCTGCAGGCAGTCAGAGAAAATCCCTCGCACTAGCGTCCCCCAAGTAAACACACAGAGACTTATATTACTTATAAACTGTATGGCCATGGCAGGCTTCTTGCTCTCTGTTAAATTAATCCATTTCCATAAATCTATACCTTGCCACTTAGCTTGTGGCTTACTGGTGTCTTACACCATGCTTATCCTCACAGTGGCTAGCTGCATCTCCTCGCCTCAGCCTTCCACCTGCCAGAATTCTCCTCCTCCTTGTCCCACCTACACTATATCCTTCCTGCCTGGCTACTGGCCAATCAGCATTTCATTTATCAATCAATCATAGCACCATATATTTACAGCATACAGGACATCCCACAGCACAAGGCCTGGTTCAACTGTGGATACTGTAGCCCGATACTGACTATGTTATCTTGTAGGCCTCAACCCTGTCCTAAGAGGCTTCCTCTGCTCAGGGAAGCTGGGGGATGAGAGGGAGGGAGGGGAAGTAAAGATGCTAAGGCTGTAGAAGGATATGGGCTTAAGAGATTGGGAAATGGAGGAAGGACAGGGATAGGCAGCTACATTTATAGGTAGGGATAGCAGACTTTCACATCATAAGCTCAGGAGGAGGTACATTTGGGGGAATTCATTATAAGGAGACTCTCAGGTCATCTCTGATGCCCACAGCTATTTGTCACAAAACTCACAGCCTCCTGGGTACCTCTCAATGCTTGTCCTGGTTCTAGAGAGCCCCATGTATCGTTGGTAAGAAGGGTAAGAAGGAGGATGACTAAGGGAGGCAAGACTCTTCCCTGGAGGAACAGACTATGTTCCAGGGATGTGGTGAACCCACTGACAACCAGTGCAAGCTCCACCATTCAGTGGGAGGAGGTGGGTTTGAATTTCCAAGACAATGAACAAGATGCTGTCTGTGACCTGGTGATGCTGAACTGAGGCACTCTAGGTCAGTCATCTAGTCCGTGCTGGACCCACCTCTATGGGAGTGACATTCTGTTTCTGTTCTGACTATGGCCTTAATTGGGTATAGAAAGGAAAGCTGGAATCAAGATTGACCACACCAACCTCAGGCAAGAAACCCTTTTATTGTTCTTTTCTTTGAGCTTCATGAAGCAATGAGAATATCCTAGACAAGAAATGCTTTGGGACCGTGAGTGGGGAAATGGAAATACTGATGAAATTCTAAGTTACAAGAGAGAGGCTCTGTGCAGTTCACCACCAGAAACTGAGCCTTTGGTCACAGCAGCTGAGGCACAGCCTGTGTGTCTCTGGGCAAGTGCTCAGGGCAAAAGTTTGGGACTGGGTCAGTGCCTGGCAAGGCTTTGGTGACCAGAAGATAAGTTGGCCAGGGTGTCAAAGGGAAGTGTAGGAGTTGGGTTGTATCTTAGACCCTTTCTGGAGGACCTGACAACTTCAGGGCCATGTCCCTGCCATGGTCACATCACTGAGTCTTTGTGTTCAGTGTCCCCTTGTGCTGCTCCACTAGTGACCCGATCCACTGAGAAGTTTTCTGTCTGGCTTCCTCCCAGCTGACAGGTGGCTCATAGCCCAGATCTCGCTGAGCTTTCTTGTAGGAGAAGGTGAACACACTATTTGACATTGTGACCAAGCAGCGGTTTAAAGGAGGCTGGTAATTGTAGATTGGACGCAGCAGGAAACTCACAGTTTCCAACAGGAAAGCAAGCCAGTAGAGCAAGGGCAGAGGAAGGCTCCAACTGGAATCAAGGCGGAGGCCCCAGTCCTTGCTCAGGGCATAATGTAAATCAACAAAGCTTTGGTGAGGGGTTTCATCTGAGATGTAGTAGAACTGACCTTGGATGTTTGGTGACTTCTTGGGGTCTCGCAGGCCCCTGGCTGCCAGAATGTGTGCCCAGGCTGCATTACTCACAAACACTGGGTTGACCACAGAGAATTTGGCAAAATTGTCAAGTATGCCATTATTCTTGAGTGCTCTATTCACTACATAAGAAACGTGTTGGCTCCCTTCTCCATAGATGAATGGGAGTCTTAAGGCACAAGTATGCAAAGTGCCACCATCTTTCAGGGTGCACCCATTGGCTGCCAGCACTGCCTTCTCAGCCATCTTTTTGCTATATGGGTACGGATGAGACCATCTGCTTTCATGATTGTCTTCTTCGCAGCCATTCTGGATGATCTCCTTGTAGGAGTTTGGTCCAGCCACAGACACTGTGCTGCTGTAGATGAAGACTGGGACACTGGCTTCCACACAAGCATCCAACAGGAGCTGAGTACCTGAGTATGGGAAGTTCACCATTACTGTTAGAAAAGACACTGAAGGGTCCACTGTGGAGTCAGATTCATCCCCACTTAATCCCCAATAGAAAGACTACTACAGATCTAAATACATTCTTACCTGATCTTGACTCAAATTGCCATTCTATAGCCACAAAATAACCCCCAAATTAAAAGAGGTGACATTTAGATTCTGAAAAGCAAGGACTTCTAGGTTTCTGAGTTTATAGAGCTATCTCTCTCTTTTCTCTGTCTCTCCCCATCACTCTATCACAGTCTTTCTATTTCTCTCTCTGTTTGAATATAATTATTTTTCTTCTCAGTGTTGGGATCACACCTAGGCTCTTCCACATGGTAGACAAGGACCCTCCCACTGAGCCACTGTCCCAGTAAGCTTTCTGTTGCTATGATAAACACCAGGACCAAAGGAATGTGGGGAGGGAACAGTTTCTATGGCTTCTATGTTCCCATGGCAGTGTGTCACTGAAGAAAATCACCCAGGAACAAAGGCAGAAACCATGGAGGAATGCTCTTTACTGCTTTGCTTCCTATGTGCTCAGCTTGTTTACCTATATAACTAAGAACCACCTGCCTAGGGGTGACACACCCCACAGTGAGCCAGGCCCTCCCATATCCATCACTGATCCAGAAAATAACCCACAGATATAACCCCTGGCCAATCTATTGTGAGCCATCTCTTAGTTGAGGTTCCCTCTTTTCAGGTGACTATTATGAATCAAGCTGACAAAAATAAAAACCAGCATTTTTGTTCTGTAAAGGACTTCCCAAGATTTTTATTTTGGTAATTTATTCCTTTATGTTTTCTAGAAACTGACATCAAGAAATTCACATTATTTTGAGGACTCTCCTCAGTGTTTGAGTCTTTGCCTTTTGTGTAGGTTTGATCCCTGAAACAACAACAACAACAACAACAAAAATCCAAAGAGGCTCCTTCACCAAATAAAAGCAAAGAGTTATTTTTTTATATTTATTTCATTTCATTAAAGGAGGGCTGTTTTTTTATCCAAAAATTCAAAATACCATATTCTCAGAAGTAGATCAGAATTACAGCATGCCTATTCAGATATACTATAGAAGCATTATGTATTTTTATTTTATTTTATTTTATCTTATTTTCAGGATGGAGTCTTATTCCTATGTATTCCAGACTGGGCTCTAAGGTATAATCTTCCTGACTCAGCCTACTGAATGCTAGGATTACACATGGGCACCACTCCATCTGGGCATGTAGTGTACACTCATAATTAGACATTAAAGGCTGGTATTTTATCTCATTTAGTTAAGACTAATACAGAACTGAGAATCTGAGTATGTAAAGCACCATTGTGCAGATCAGGATATGAGGAAAGTAGCTAAGTAGAACTAATAGGTCAGTAATGGCCATCCCCAAATCATTAGTTGATTTGGAAAAGGAGCCCAAGTAGCTAAATTTGGAGGTCACATGGAGGATACATGCCAGACAGGACCTTGGAAAACAGTGGTACTAAGAAGACTGACTTTTAGTGGTGGTTCTGAGTGATGATGTTATATGGTAATGTCCTTTATTAAAGTATATTGCAAAGCTCCTTTCTGAGGCACTAACCATTTAGGGATGGGAATCTGAAGAAGAAACTCTGTGCCTGGCTAGAACCAGTCTTCAAGAGTAGACTAACACTAATCTGAAGAGATGACCTTGTAGAAATTTTAAAACTTTTGCTCTTAAGAAAACAAGTGCTGGATCATTTTCCTGGCAGACCCATGTGGAGAGGCTTTGATGGCTCTCTACTGAGGAAAGGTCAGGGTGTGGTCCAGAGAGGCAGTGTGTGGGAGCCCAGCTGGAAGAAGGGCTCTCACATTTCACCAGAGGGTACTCTTGAGGAGAGAGTGGGATGGAAACAGATAGAAACACAGGATAGCCTTGGGTGGGCCTGGATCATTATCCACTGGCCCCTTCTGTCTCTTCTAAGGGGCTATTTATAGGAGTACCAAGGAGTGGAGCAAAAGACCTCCTCCTAGCTCAGCCAAGTACAGACCCTTTCCAATCACCTGGTCACCACACAACAAGGGGTCAAGCAATCCTCTAATGCAGCTCTGCTGGGTAGAGCAAGCTCAGATCTCACTAGGAAACCTTGATGAGCTTCCACAACTCCCCCTTCTT